GAAGAAATAATAATGAACATAAATGGAAGAGCCAATGAATAATAATCGTCACGAATGGCAGATGCTTCGTAGTGCGAAATTCCATACTTTACCAACGTTTGATGATACAGTTCGAGAAGTTGTGGTTCGAGTGAACGAGCTCGATCACCATCAAGCAAGCGTAGAAGAAACACGACATCGATTAATCCATTTGCGCGACAACAAGTCTGCCAATCAAATAGTACTAATCGACGTGATTGATTACGTCGTACGTAGATATTATTAATCCAAAAGTCACCATGTGATAAAGTGTAATGTTCATCGGTAAGTGTCTGAAAAAGATGTGGAATATGTGTAACAAGTGCTTTGGCATAAGCATATGCTTTATGTGACACTCTCGATTCTAGTAATTGTGTATATTCTCTATTGGCCATCTTTAATGCATACGCATTACGATAGTGTGTGAGTGTTGAGTTCAATAAAGTCAACCATGCGAACATGTCTTGTTGTAACAATGGATGATTGAAAAACTCAGCATGTACAGATGCGATTGAGGCAATTAGAAGACACAGTACGGAATCTTCTAGCGACTCTTTTGAATCTAATGGATCACAGTCTATAGAAAGATCTTCGAGCAGTAGTAAGCTCTTGTTGGGAGAATGAGGATGACGATCGGTATAGTAACATTTAGGAACGTCGATATTGGAGATCCGTGATCCAAGCTTTAAATAAAATTCTGGTTCAATCGAAGCAACACGCTCTAGCCAAGTGCCAGTTGATAGTTTTAATATCATAGACGGTGACAGACAAACTGTATTATCAGACGAATACTGAATATCGTAAAGACGATACAAAGATCCGTTCCAACCTTTGCCAACACCAATCGGTTCAAACATAAAGGAATTTACTTTTATTGATGAGCTCGTATATGCGGAGAGCATGTATGAAAGAAGTTCAGGTGTTAGATCGATAATTTCATTAGGAAAAGTAGGGAGAACTGGCATTATAGTAGATTGTGTGCTCCACAATTGATGTTGTATAATGTAACTGGTGATCTTGTCAAGTTGAATACATGAATGAAGTTGTTCACGTGTTGTAAAGGTATTGCGTGCACAGGCTCGAATAGTACTAGAGGAAAGATTCATATGTGTTGCTTGAACTAGATGAAATCTAACAGATAATAAAATATGAATATGGAATTATTTGAAAACTAATAACTATACTTTTCTGGAAAAGATGATAATGTTTGTATTTCTCGCCAACGTTTTTCATGATAATCCTGAATAGTTTTGAATTCATCATTTTTGTTAATTATATTCTCATTGCATCCTCGATTCAAAACATATATTGAGTGAAATCCTAATCGAATAACATCGTCAGATGACTTAGTACGAGACAGCGCGTCTTCTCCTTTTAACCAAAATACATCAATTCGTTCGCCATCAGGAAGTTGCGAGCGAACACGTGAAATAAAAGCTTCCATGACAATACTTAATTGAGTTTTGCATGGTTGAAACATTTCAAATAAATCTACCATAACCCAATCAAGATTTTCAATTGCAAGATAGATCATTGATAAACGATGCCCGGCTCCAATCAACTCATCTGGATTTAATTTCTTCGCAACATATCCAGAATGTGAAGGAGATATATATGCAGCTAGCAACTCATGTGTACCAAGATTATTAATGTACCGTTTTGCATCTTCCAAGACACTAATATGGCCTGCATGAATTGGAACAAATGTACCATTATAAAAACAGATAGCTGGAATTAGATTTGTTTCAGGAACTTTTAAGCGACCTTGAGAAAGAATTCGTATGTCATTCGGTTCTAGCCAAGTTTTTATTGATGATGGTACAATAGAAGTAGAAGTAGTAATATTTTTTAATTCCATTGGTTATAGAACTAGAAGATAAACAAAGTAAGAGAATATAAATGGAAGCAAAAGATTGCAACTTGTCTTAAATTTGTTTTAGTAAAATAAAGATGAATTCTTACCTTTCTTTCGATTTTAATAAGAAAAAAACCCTAATATATAAACGACTTGTTTTTTGATGACGTAGTAATTGCATCAGTTGGCTTTTTTTCGCCGAACGAAAAAAAAAACACAGCTATTGACTCAAAACAGAATAAGAAAAATATTTGTCATGACTCAATGTATGCAGAAGGAGAAAACAAAAAAAAAACCAGTAAAGGTGCCTGCATTTTGTCTCATTTAATGGCAACCAACAGATTGAAGATTTATTTTCAAGATTTTATCTTCAACGTTAATAGTTACAAAATTCTATCAAATCGTTCACATTACTGAACAAAAGTCCAAGATTGAATTCTAGAAAAAAAATTGTTCTAAAAATCAATGTATATTTCAGTCAAATTTTTTTTCTCAAAGATTATAATATGGTATCGCACTTTTAAATGATTACATTCATAAAAATTAACAAGGTTTTTTAATGTTCTTCTGATATAGAGAAAAAAAATCTCTTATTCATTTCATATGTGTGATTGGGTCGTAGGAAATATTCAATACATTTTTTGGTGCCTTATAGTTTTGATTTTTATCATTTGTATATGCCAACAAAACTTGAAAGAACTTATATAAAACATGCTGATGGTCATATTAAAGGTCGAATTGAATGGGTTTCATTGATTCGATTTTGATTGGTTTCAATTAGTCCAAATTCAACCTGTTTTGATATGGACAGTTAAATTAAAAAATTAATTTAATTAATTCAAAAGTGTTTAGTTAATTGTTTTAAGTTAAAACCAAGTTAGTAAATATAGTTTTAATTTTAAGACGTAAATATTACCATTTTTTAATAATATTCCTAATCTGACATCCCTATAGACAACTATTCATCTTATTACACTGAATACAAGTAACCGATTGTCTCAAATAAAGTATAGTTTTCATGAAAACAAAAAAAAAAGGGTACGTCACATGAACATCATGCATAACATGTTTACAAAATTGATTTTAGTCAAATAAATCCTTTTTTTTTAATTTTAACCTTGAGTTCGTTTGACTGTTTTTGTTTTAATTTGGCCGGATTTTATTTCGTTTATTATTCCTCAAGAAAATATAATATAAATAAAGTTGATTCATCCATCTTTGCTTTAGAAGGTCAATACAAGTTCAATGAGATTTTCATTATACTTCATTCATTTTTTTAATATGAATTATTACTGGAAGATTCATTCTATATGAATCACTCTATAGGTATGCCTGAGTAATGTCGAAAAGTTCGAAGAGGGCAAGAACAACATCTTAATAGTGTTAATGTTATTGGGAGAAAAAAAATGGGTGAAACTATGTTTTTAATCATGTTACACAAACAGTAATTTAACAAAAAAATATCTAACATTCAATCAGGGTAAAAATGGAAGTGTCAATCGGTTCTCCGCTCATACTCACACCCAACTAGATATCCTTGCATATATTTTTTTCATTTCTTTTATCTATTAGTCTAACAATCAGACCTTATTAGTCTATTCTCTAATCTTTATAACTGTCCTTTTTTGTTCCAGAGAAAGCGATGATTAATTTATCTCTATCTATATTCTATTTTTTAAACTGTTCTTGTATGTTTTATGACAAAATTTTTTATTGTACATGCTATGATTATAATTGACAGTTGCGCCTCATACCCTTTGATTATTTATCAGGTCAATCATTTTTATAACATCAACGCTACTAAGATTTTACCCCTGTCGTCTTCAAACTTTTCGACATTTCGCTTGCGACATTACTCAGTACATTCCGATTCTTGTCAATATATATGGTTGAAATTTGATGATCTGATACTACCAAACAATCGAATAACTAGTCATTTAGACGAAAAATGTGACCTGGAGTTAGTGTGAACGACTGAAAATCCAATTGAATATAAAGATGATTTCAACAATGATATACTACTTAATATCCTTGTAAAAATAAATGCCTCACAATTGATAAACTTTCATCGTCAAACAAGATTTTCTTCCAATATGTTTCATTCAATTTACAATGAATTTCAAGTCTTTTTATTTTATTTTTATAGCAAAACATCGTTTCAAACACATCAATAATCTATTCGTAACATTATATACAAAAAAATAATAAATCATAAATTAATATAACAATCAGTTAGTTTTGGTACGTTTACGACTAGTTGCATATCATTGTGGCACATTCGTTTTTTTCATACCAAGCCATATACGTAGTTCATCAGATTCTTTACAATATGTTAAATCTCTTCGATCTGAAATCCATTCAATGATTTTTGTTTGCCGAGTAGATTTACTATTGAAAAATCGAAATGTAACACTTGACAAATGATCAACACGTTCGAGTACGATTTTCATATCCTTCATTGATCTAACATCAATTTTCAGATGTGCAATATGACTAGGAATCATGGAGCATAACTGATTTGTGATCTTGGTATCAGTCTTAGTAAGCCAAGGAATAATAATAATGAGTGAACGAACATTGTATGCTTGCTCGAATATTTTTAAGTAATTTGTCGTCATGATTTGAGAAGAATCTTCATCAAATTTATCAATCAATTTGAGCTTTCTAAGTTGTGACAAATCGATTAGTGTCGAGATCAGATGAACACAATCAATTGACCAAGTGCCATCAATTCGAATATCGAGATCAGATGCTTGATGAAATAATCGTGTTATAGATGGCATATTCTATTTTTGAATAGAAAATAATTAAAAAGAACAGTATCAATTCTACAATCAGACACCCTACTTAAAATACATCTATCATCGAGTTTTTGTGAGGAGCTACATATGAAAGAAAGTTTTTTTTGCAACACTTTGATGACTTGAATTATCTTTCATTTATCGACATAAATCAATACATTTGCTATTCTCACGCTCCATGATATTCGATTTCTTCAAAATGTTGTCAACGTTGAATACCTTTTTTCTTTATTTGACTGATCGCAAAAAAAATTCCTTCTTCTAAATGGAAGTCATCTGCTAATTTAAATTCTTATCTATCATAAAAGATGTTTTGTTCGTATACAATGAGTAATTGTCTAAATTTCAATTTTATTATTGTCATTCTAATTTATTTTTTTGAACAGAATTTAATCCTCTATAAATATAACTTGCTATGTTGAACGTCTCATCTGAACCTTCATTCACTATCAACAAGACAGTCTGTAGTTTCATTTGGAATATCAAATAAATAAAAACTAATTTCCAATGTTAGAGTCAAACGTTCACACTTGTAGTCGTGCTAAACGAAAACGAAGAAAAACTTGCATTAGCATGGTGAATAACAATAGCTAAGACAATCAAAATGTATACGCTACAAAAAAAATTTGTATTCAACAGTTTCCATCAATCAAGAACTTAGCTATTAATTTTCCGTATTTCGGAATTTTCAGATTCCAATTTTGAATTTTTCATTTATAACTATACTGTCATATAGAAAACAATTTTCTATTTTGAATAAAAATATTTTGATAACAAACACTATGTATCACCTCTTAAGTTGATCAGAATAAGGCGGAAATAGATATGGAGTCGTATTCTATGGAACTGTAGACTCACATTTTATTTGTTAGTTACTGAAATATGTTGATTGAGGATACGAGAGAGACATTGCTGCTGCTGCTGCTTTTGAGAAACCCAATTCATAGAAAACTCAAGCTAAAAGATAGGATTACTTCTCTAATCAGTTTTCTTCGAACACTCATCATTTTTTTTTCTTGTTTTACCTGTTTTTCGGTAATTGCAGTCATTAGTTCTTTTGTTTCTAAACGAACACTTTGTACATGATGCATCATTGTTGTATCATTATTCATTTCAGTTAAAGTCGAAAATGTAATTATATTCGAATTTAGATGATATTCAAAATGACGACCAATATAAGGTATTGAATAGAGTCGTATTTCATTATCTAGATATCGAAAATCAGGTGATGCATGTCGAATAAGTTCACATTTAACAAACCAATGTTTGATTTCAAGCCAAAATACTGTTTGAAATGAAGCTATCAATTGTTGACCATTGATCGAACGATAATCAGTATCGACTTTCTTATTAAAAACAAATTCAAATTTATTTAACATTAATAATTTTGTTTGAATAAATTGTTCCCATGGAAAATCAAATCGATCTACATCACCAATCAATCGAAGATGTATCAATGAAGGTGTATTTGAAAGAATTATTTCAATTTTATCCATATCAAAACTAGAATTTTCCATTGTAAGTGAAATTAATTGTTGCATTGGTATAAGATTAGAGATTTTAATAATTGGTCCATCATAATCAATTAAATAACAATAATTAATAAATAATTTTTGTAGACAAGAAAAATGATGAAAAATAATCGAAAGATGATTTGAATAACAATTGAATAATGTTAAATATTGTATTCTATATTGTATTGGCCAATATAATTTATCAGTATCATGTTCTATAACATTCATTGTTAATTTTTGAAGACTAGGTTGTTGAAGAATTGTTGAAAGAAGACGATTAGTTATTTTTGAACGATTATAAGTATCTTTCTGTTTAATTGATAATGAAATAAGCTTACAATTAGTAACATGTCGAAGAATTTGTTTTAAATCATGTTCTTTAATATCAATAAGTGTCAATGAACAAAGTTTTGTAAAATGTTCAACACGAAATAACGATAAAAATAATTGAATTTGATCTGTTGTCGTATGTTCATCAGAAAGTGTCAGTGAAATCACATTTTCTGGTTGAATAAATCGACAAATGCGATCAAAATTTGATTTTAATATTGATTGAAAATTAAGTTTATAACAATCATAAACATTTGTAATCGTATAGAATCGTTTACAGACATAACGAAGTGAAAGAATAATTGTCTGTTCATCGAGACTATTGAATATTTGATGAATAAGTTCAACAGGTAGTGTATCAAGTGATGAAATCAATGTAGTAGACATTCATAAGATGAATGAGAGAGAACTAATAATACTATATATGAAAGTAAATTTTTCGTTTATGTGATTGATATTATGAACAGTCAACCGTAAGGAAAGAAAAATGTGTAAAGTGAGAAAAGAGGGCGCTGGTCAACAATCGAAATCCCTCGTTTAACCTCATCAAACTGCTCTTCCATTACATGAAAAGAAAGCTAGTAGAGAGATGCAGGAACCAAAAATGTCGATTTTTTGGGTGTAAATGCCAAGTATGTTGACCTTCTCTTCAAATACACCCGCATCCTGAACAAAAAATTCAACTCTTGATTAGATAATAAAAGCACGTCACAAAAAGAAAATAGAAACCCTCATTACATTGAAGATTTTTTTTCCAACAAGAAACAACAGCATGAACCATTATGATACATGTTTTCAATGACAAACTATATAGTTTTTTGTAGAAAATTGAATTCATGCAATGTATGATAATTGAAGGGCAATCGATCAAATGGATTACGATTTGAATGAGTAATAAAAGTTGAAATAGTCACCAAAAGTTCAATAACCCCACATATGCAGTAGAGAGATTAGGATTATAATGCATTGACTTAGAAACGAAATTTCAGAATAAAATGTCATTGCTAGTGGAGGTGACAAAATGGAACCAGCTCATCAGTCCCATTTGTTTCATTTTGGTTCAAGGATTTCACTGTTGATCGAATGTGGTTATTCCAGCTTTTGTCACAAACTGCCCTAAGTTTCATTTTTCTAGACGAATATTTCATTGTGAATCGATTTTAACGTGAAGTTCATTGATTTTTTAGTTTGGTTATTTGAAAATTTAATTTTTCAACTCGAAAGAGTTCAAACAATATGATTGATTTAGACTAACTATCAATTCAATCGAATATTTTGACAAACAGATTGATCTTTTTATTTCAAATTGTTGATACTTCTGTTAACATAGAATACTATTGTTTGATTTTGAACTGAGTAAGTGGAAAAAGAAAATAGAAATTAATAGAAAAAATATTGAACGACGACAAATACCATCCTAAAGATACTATTGAAAAGATTAGACAGATAAATTGCAACAAGTCAAACATTACGAAGTAGCAAAATGTTAAACTTTCAAACAGAAAACAAACTGTTTAGAATCATCTTATATAAAATCACTGAGAATCGATGGATAGTATAAACAAACAGCGCTACTTTTGAGGTTGAGAAGACAAATAATGAATCTATCAAAAATGTTACTTGACTGTTTGTTGTTGGGATATTTTATTTGTACATTGACCCAGTGAGAACATTTGTGAATTCACCAAAGATTATGAAACAAATAGAAATGCTACAATGTCGAAACGTAAGAAAATGAAATTATAGCTCAGAACCCTTTTAATGTCGATTTCTATATCTGTCTCAATTTAAATATCATTATGCAGATTTAATGAAATCATTGTCATCTTTTTTGTTTTCTTTATCAAAACTTACAAAAATCTCAGAAATGATCGTAACTCATTGAATAAACAATAAAATATTGCGCATCTCTTAGCACAATTGTACATCTTTGTTCTAGTGTTATCAACATTTAAAAGATATGATCCATTGGCAAAGTACGACTTTACATTGTCCGTATAAAAATATCTACTTTCTCTAGGAAAATCGATGAGTCCAATTAAGTTTAATGAGAAACGATTTTGTTTGAGGGTGTAGGTGTGGGTTATTCTTCTTCAATCACCCACACTCACAAGCACACTCACATCCACACCCCACACTCTAGCCACACCCACCCATACCCACACCCCACACCGTCACCTACACCCCACACTCTAGCCACACCCACCCCCACTCCCACAGCAACACCCACACCCCACATTCACCCAACCCTTTAATCTACGGAACTAAAAAAGGTTACGAATTTGTATCGAGGAAAAGATCCTTTTTTGGTTTCGTAAAGCACCCTTTTTTTAGAGTGTACTTTTTGACTCAAAAGCCATGAACAGATATTCTTGTAGGATTTTCTGGGTTTCATTCATATCTACTTCATGTTTATGATATAAAGTAATTCTCATAGACGTTATACAAGCTTTATTGATATGATTTCTCTCTATACATAAGAATAAATCTACTAATATCTATTGAAAGAAGTCGTATCAGCCCAAATTTCTTTCGACTTTTCCTTAGAATAAGATTCACAGCATGTACGGAAAATATCAATGAAAAGGGGTGTGCAGCAGTTGAGGACCTTCCTCGCTAGCCTTACTGCAAGAATTAAATTGGCTTCGAGAAAAAAGTCGAAATAAACCATTTTTTATGATAAATAGATTTACAGTGGTTTGCAAAAAGACTTGGAACAAATCTTTAGCCTCTACTAAAGGCTAGGTCAATTACTTTAAAAAAAATATTTCTTTATTTAATATATATCAGTTTAATGTCTCAGAATATCTAAGTCAATATTCAACTTGTTCTCCTGTCAGTTCAATAATCAAGGGATATCTGGCTTTTGTGCTGTTAGTCAAATTGATTACAAATTTTTCAATATTTATTTTCAAGCCAATTCAAATGGCGTGAGATTGTGCTAGTGGAAACAGTTAATTCACATTGTTTACATCATTTTTCAGCTAGTTCTTTCAATATCACTTCATTATTGCGTCCAATAAATTGACCTAATATTCGACTACATTTGGCGGCAACCATATATTTTCGACCATTAGCTGCTCGATATTCTAGAAAACCTTGAGTTTTGAGCTTTTTAAATTGGTTAATAATTGTAGACAGTGTTACCTTTGCATATCGATAGATTTTATTGGCAGAATGAATTTTAATATTCCAATAATGCAATACAGATTTATGAACCTTCGATTCACTCTCTCTTACTATCGATTAGGCTGTTCGAACAATGAATGAGAGAACAAGCGAAACAACAATAATATTTGTATGAAAAAAAGGTACCTCAATAACATATGATCACAAGGTTTTTTCATGCGTAAGGATGAATACGCACAAGTCAAGCGTATTTTTTCGATGTGTATATAAACAACATAATATTTTCTTTTCTTGCATAGAACAAACCTTGATACATTACACCATTATACAAGGTTTCGCACAAATACAGCCAGCAGACGTAAGTCTTTTGAAAGTACAGTTGCTTCAGAAGGCTTTTTTCATCATCAGTATCCAGTGAATTTTTCTGTCCTTAAGTAGTACCACTCACCGCGTATTGTATTATTTTCGCATCATAATAATTCTTTCCTTGGCAACGACAACGTTCCAAAGTTCTGTATGAAATGAATAGCAGATATTAATATCCATTTCAAAAAAGAAAAAATTGTGAGTATTTTTTGAATAACATCTGATAGTAATTACGGAGGAAGCTGCAATTTTCACCGTTTAAAAAAGGAGATGACACTGCATCGAATCACATATACCAGATTTCTCTGAAAATTTTTCTCAGAGTCTCTCACCAATTTTTTCAAAAAATCGAGGCTTTTGAATAAGTTTATAAGGTGGATTCTCCGTTAAAAAATGAGAAATATTGTCAATTTTTTTATAAAGAATCTGCTGGCAACATGGAGTAAAATGTATATAACTCATCATTGGCAAAATCTTACAATATCGAACTTACATAATTTAGAGGTCTTCAGTGAATAATTCTAGTGCATTCTTGTAAATTGAAGTCGTTTAACTTTTACATTAAACAATGTTTTGTTTTTAACAAACTTGATGATAGACTTTGAAAAAACTTGTCAGAAAAATCCGGTATACGTGCATACTAAATCATCCCTAGGTTCAGGAAAAAACAAAGAGTTTTGCACTTTTCATACGAAACCAGCGTGTCCCATAAGGTAAAAAAAAAGTTTTGTATCTTCCTTACAGAACTTCATATGGGTTGGCAGGAAAAGGAATATTGTGTATGGTTTGTAGAGATCCTTTAATAGTTCCACCCGAAATAAAATAATTTTGTAGTCTTTTTACCGAACTATTTTCGATTTGGAAAAAAGAAAAAGGTTCCGTATATTTTCTACGAAAACTTCTGCGCCAGCAATTAATGTCGAAAGTTTTTTTGAATCTTTTTCTGTGTGGATGCCAAACAAAAGCTTTTATAGATAACTAGGGTGGATGAGTGTGGGTGTGGGTGTACTTTCAGAAATGACCCACACCCACACCCTCATGAGTAGCGCTTGGTTGAATGTTAGGTGTGGTACACACTTTAATGTAGCAGCGAACGTTTTCCGTATTCATCTGAAACAGATGAACAGTATTAAAGTTTAACCTAACTTATTTTTTTGACTTTCCTGAAAATGAACAAATAAACTATACATACACATAAAACAAGCAAGACAAGTGTCTTAATATATACAGGATGTTTCAGAAATAACGTTCCAAAAGTTTTTTCGTATATCTTTGCTATTTCATTTAACTTTATCAACAATTTTTTTTTAAATTAAAGATGAATATACCGAGTTTTTATTTATCTGAACGAGCTTCCATATTATTGTACATAACTATCACTTTCGATCGAAACACAAAAATATTGCTTTCTTTACTATTTCCAGAAAAACATTATCTAGCGTTTTTTTTTAATTATTTCGACTTCTTCTAGTAGTTTTCTGTAAATTTGCTTTTAAGAAAAGGTTCAAAATTTTTTCAATATATATATTCTTGTAGAACTCGACGAGTTCTATCTGACTATATGAAAATATCAAAGAAAAAACCTTAGTCGATTTTTGAAGTACTCACATCTTAGAAAGAAAGCAAAATTTTTGTATTTCGATCGAAGGTGATAGTTTTGTACAATAATGCGGAAGCTCGTTCAGATAAATGAAAACTCGATATATTCACCTTTAATTTTAAAAAAAATTGTTGATAAAGTTAAATGAAATAGGAAAGATATACGAAAAAAACTTTTGAAACGTTATTTCTGAGACACCCTGTATGTATGTATGGACGACTAGGTATTTGAAGAGACAAAAAAAACAATAAAAGAAAAGAGAAGAGAAGAACAGAGAAAAAAACAAAAAGAG